GCGTGAATCGTTGTGAATTATAGCTTGTGTTTAAGTTAAAATGACTGTGGAAATTCTGTATATTGCAAAGTTGTATTGAGAAAGAATAAACTAGTTTTATCTAAAAAAGGACTTGTATTGCTGAAGATCCTCGGGAAGAATTTATACCGGAAATTAACAAACGACCAGAGATGTAACAATTTTTTTTCTTATTTGTAACATTGGATTCTTTAAAAATTGTTCCCATCATCTTTCTGGAGAAAAAAAGATATGCTACTCATTTATTCCGTCAATTTATTTATTTTAATTTTTTCCTAGTGTGGTGCTTCCTGTTGCTCATCTGTAAGTGTGAGGGCTTATAATGCTCACCCAGTCTTCATTTTGGTACATTCATTTTATTCACTTTACTATCATATCACCTCTTTCATATGGTGGCCTTTCCTAGCTGTTAGCATGTAAACTTGTGCATGTCAACCAATGCAGACCTTATCTACTCCATATATTCTTGTGAGCATAATGAAACATATGCTTTTTTAGGATGACTATATATTACATCTACATGAAGCAAGACTTCTCCGGCAAATATCAGCATATTCAGCTGTTGATCTATGTTTAGTTGCATGTTATGCTATCATGATGTAAAGAAAGTGTTCTTCACAGTCGGTTTGGTTAAAGTTAACAAACTTACTCTTGACTGTCTATATCTCTTTATTCCACTAAAACTATCACACTGGGGGGATAAGGTGAATTGTGCATCTTCACTACACCAAAACCTTCACACAACTCAGGGAATAGTTGGCTGTTAAACTTAACTCCCTGATAGATGTGTTTCTTGTCAGTTGCTCCAAAACTGAGCTATCGAGTAGTTCACCAATGTATCATACAATTTATAAGCCTTGTCCCACTTTGTGAAGCATTCATTGACCATGTATTTATTTATACAGATGGACCCGTTCTGTTTCTGGAAGTGGATAAAAAATATTCAGGACTGTTCTCTACAGTGGAGAACCAACAATTAATTACTGAAGTTTACCTTGTTTTGAGTGGCTTTTTTTTTTCTGTGTGGCATATATTGCACAGTTTTTACTCCAGAGCTGAATATCTTAACTCAAATGCATTCCAAAATCTTGTTGTCTTCCAGTATTTATATTATGCAAAGACTGGATAATCTCATGCCTCAAACTTCTGGAGACAACTAACTATAACATAAGCTGAGAACCACTGGTCATTGGTTCATAACAATGGTAAAGCACGCCTACTTGCACTCATAATTGCTCACATAAGTGCTTTAGTTTACAGACTTCTCTGTAACATTCTTCAGTCTAAGTCAGTTGTACTTTACCTTGTTGCACGGCAAGCAATATCCCATGCTAGATCTGAGTTCTTCAATTGCTATTCTCAGAACACCTGAAGCATTAAGCACAGCATCTACCCATTACAATCTCCTAAAGTATAGATTGTTGTGACTATAGCAGAAATGGTCTCAATTCCCACATTGTGTCCAGAATACAGACGTTCAACGAACAGAGAGAGACGCATTTATCGAGACAGTGTATCTGCTTTTCAGTGTTATGGATCTAGGTGATAATATATAATTAAATCATAATCATACAACGTTTTTATACAATGTACTGTCACTCTTTTGGGGTTTTTAAAGCTCATCAATCACTTCAACAATGCATGGTCCACTCGAACAGTGAACTTTCTACCGTTAGTGTATGGTTAGTGTATGTGATTAAGTTATCTCTTCTGCCCTCCAACTGTGACAACATTGTTCTGATTCCACTATTACTGGTGTTTAGCAATAATTCACAATCCTGTTGTGCATATGCCAACACCAAGACTTTTAATAAAGTACATTTCAGGCACTGGATTGCTTACTCTCTTTCCTCACGCTATCTCAATAGCATCTCTAACTTAGTAGTAGTTTCGTATGGTGTTTCTCACACCCCCAAATGCTTTTGGAGGTGAATATCTGGGAGTAGGACTGGCGTCCTAGTCCGGACACCGGGTGAGAATGTTTTGGTGTGATGGGGATTCGAACCCGCGAACCACATATTGCGAGTCGAGTGCTCTAACCACGTGGCCATGCCGGGCCTCTAACTTAGTAAGAGCCAATAATGGTGAGACAATTTTAGATAAGTTGGCCACAAACTACAGACTTATTATTTGGTCACAGGCTGAAGATAATCTTGCACAGTTGCTATTGTTACGACAGCGGAGGTCACGTGACGCTAGTAACACGTCATGAACTTCTAGAAAATTCATGTCCCTTCCTGAAGCCTCGAGTGTTTACTAGAAGTACGGTATTCTTGTAGGTATATAAGACCTCCAACAAGTGACGGCAACAATGTAATTGAACTGCAGACAGAGAT